TAGGGCAAGAAAGTGTAGATAGAATAGTGGCTGCTGTAAGGGCCGTTGGAAGAGATTTTGAGATTTGACAAGCAGGTGGTCATTGGGGCTGAGGGAATGACTAAGTATGTGTTTTGCAAGTCATGTATCATGTTAAGTAACCAGTTTTCTCGACTCTAGTTCTGTAACCAATGTCCAAGCGGCTTGACTCATGTAGCCAGTTCTTTGGTTCTGTAAGCGCTTCGTGCACCTGCAGTTCGCAGTTCAACCGGTACCTTCTTTCTCTAATCCTCTAAGTGTCCTCCTTTGTGGCACTAACAGCACATATGCGGTCTTGAATCGTGTCTAGGTCCGCCCATAGGCGCGTGGTCTCCATGTAGCGAGAATTAATAGGTGGTAGCCGCGATACAAGGCTACAGACAATAATTGATGATGGTGAAGAGCGGGATGTAGACATAGGATTTATCTAGATAGTTCACTATTCAAAACGGTATGCGCGTACATAGTATAAGATTGAAAGCTTCGATATAGTATGCCGATGCGCCGAGACTGAGAAACTGAAGATTTAAATAACGCAAAATTGATGCGCCAAGATAGTACAGCTGCGCAGTCCAAACCCCATCAGCCACGAAGGAGCTCGTATTCGTTGTGTCCCTAGCAAGCTACACTGCTATCTGGAGCTATAATGAAATAACACGAAACAAGCAAATTCTATATTATTCAAAACTTATCAGCTGTATTATGATAAGTGGGGCTATTGGCATATATGCTTGAAATTATAATGTCTTTTGTCGGGATATATCTACTTGACCTTCTGCATGGTGAAGAAGGTTAGCCTTTTTGCACCACATCTTTTTATTCACTAGAATGGAAAAATAATCTAACCACGCTAATGATAGATTGGAGTATGCTAAACACAAGCGTGTTTGTGACTTAATCCTCTGTGAGCATTCCGTCTTGTATTTCAGGTCGCTAATAATGCTAATACTATAGTTATTATTGTTTTCTATAACGTGGTTCATAAGCGAGCGGACACCCCAAGCGAGCGGACACCTCCCCACCAGCGCGTCGACGTTCAGACTACAACGCGTTATGTCTCAACCACATCAGGATTCAAC